GCGAGGGCTGGTCGACCTGATGCTCGACGAGGCGGCGAGGCCTGCCAAGGTCGAGTGCTGTCTCAGAGCCGGGGTCGCGCTCAAGCAGCTGTGGATTGGCATCGTATGCGTCGACGGGTGCGTCACTTGCCCGAGGTGCCCGCAGCTCGCGAGGGCTGGTTGGTCAGCAGTGTCGGTGACGGCAGACGGGCGCCTCCAGGGAGGTATGTGCGGGTGCGTGCCAGGGGAGTTCCAGGAGATAGGCTACGCCGAGCTGTACGCGGTGGTCAGGGTCTTGCGGGAGAAAGGGCTCGGGCATCTCACCATCGTGAGCGACTGCAAGGGCGTAGTCGACGATTACTTGCGGGGGGAAGCTTATTGCACCTCGCACCTAAGTAAATGCGCAGATCTGTGGCGCGAGTTTTGGTTCCACGTGAACGATGCTGGGCACGACATGGTCTCCCTGGTCTGGGTCAAGGCGCATGCCTCGTGGCGCGTGGCCGAGCTGCTGGGGGCGAGTTGGTGCCACCACATCGGGAACAAAGAGGCGGACAGGCTGGCCAAACTTGGAGCCCGTCTTCACCCGCAAGATCGGCTTCGAGAGTGTGAGGCCAGATTTGCCGCGGCCCACGAAGCGGCCGCCGACCTCCTGCTCCACCATGGCGTGGTGCTGAAAGAGCTCGCGGGCTTGGGCTGGCCCGACAGGGGTCCTCTCCCTGGCCGTCGCGGGGCCCCAAAGGGGATTCAGCTGGAGTTTGAGAGGTCCTCAAACGGGCACACTTTAAAGCGTCTGGGTAGGGCCTGGGGTTGCCTCCGGTGTGGGATTCGCAAGGCCTCCAGGGCCAGAGTGGTTTCGCTCCCATGCGTTGGGGTCCCGAGGCCAGCTGCCCTGGCGCATGATTCCCATCGGCTCTGGGTCGTTCTGCGTCGTCGGGGCCTGGGGGGGGGAGTCCGTCGTCGTCGGGGGGGTACCAGACCGAAGGGAGTCAGGACGCCATCGTGTTCTGTAACGTCTGCGGGGCGTACGCCCGACGGCAGACGCATTTGTTGCGCGACGAGTGTAAGCCAGCGAATCGCCTTGCCAGGAAGGCGTTGGATAAGCTCCGTGCAGGGCGAGAGCCTCAGTCTGATGTCTACTGGGGCCTTCCCTTCCCGTTAATTCGGCGTCAGCGGTTGGCCAATGTTTGATATGTTTGAACAGGTTAAACTGCTGTGCCCAAATTTTCGGCCTCGTGGATCCGTGTTTAACGTGTTTAAGCCGCGGAACCCTGGGTTTTTTCCGTCCTGGGTGGAGGTCCCGGCCGCTCCTGGGAGAGTTCCTGCGTGATGTAGGTGCGGTAGTGTTTCATGAGACACACCGTTTTTAGGACACAGAGGACACAGAGGAGGAGGAGGAGGAGGAGGAGGAGGAGGAGGAGGAGAATGAGGCGCTGGCTGCACCCTCAGAATGGCAGTGAGGGCGCGGGGCGCCGGTCGCGGCGGCCAGAGCAGCAGCCAGCTGGGCGCCGTGGGGCGACGTCGCAACATGTACATACTCCTGGCCACCGTCTCGGCCTGGCCACGACGACGAGAGCTGCAAGAGAAGGAGGCTGGCCCATCGCGCAAGTGCCGGCCTACGATCAAAAGTACACGGCGAAGAGCATCGAGACTTCCAACGGCATCTCACGGAAGGACGGCTACGATTGCTCTGGGCAGATCTACCTGGGCGCCGTAGAGCCGAACGAGGACACCGCCCACAACGGCGTCTACGGCGCCTTGAGGAGTGCGTTCGAGATCGAGCGGCGGGAGGTGGAGCATCTATGCACATCGCCGAACGTGGCAGCGCCGCGTGGGCAGATCCGACGGCCATGCGATTGCGGACGGAGGTGTCCCGCGAGGCGGACATCCACTGGTGCCCCTTCGATGTGTTCTCTCTCTCTCTCTCTCTTCCAGACGAATCTGGCGAGCAAGATTGGGGCGACCGGGTCGACCGCATTCGAGTTTCTTTCCCGGTCAACGCGAAGCCTTGCGCGTGCCGGGGAAGGGGGCGGCGGCGAAAAAAAGAATGGGGGAGCTCATCAGGCAGCGACCAGCGGAAGCAGCAACGAGACGAGCAACATCTACAGCACATGGTGGCGAAGTTTTGGGATATTAACGACGCCCTCGATAGTGAGGGTCATATTTCACCACCAGAGTCGAGAACCAAACCAGTCGCGACTACGGACATCCGACAAGAAGAGAGCTCATACCCGACAGAGGCCAGGACGCGCGCCGAGATGATGGCCCTGGTCGACAAGCCGAAAGAAGCAAGGAGGAATAAGGTTGACACTGAGAATCACTTCGACGACTGCGGTGATTCCATCGAGGGGCTGGGCATGAGCAGCGAGCTCTTCGCGACCTACGAGGAATACGAGACGTACTCGGACGTCGACGACTACTCCAGATTTCGTAATAAAAGGGAGGGGGTCCGGACCCTCCAAGACAAGCCATTTCAGACCCCCCCCCCCCGTGGGAGAACCCTCCAAAACATCGTCCCCAGACCCCCCCTGGCCCTCCAAGATAGCCTGGAAGAGACCCCCACCCGAAATGAGACCCCCCTCCCTTTATTGCGAAATCTGGAGTACCCTGTGCTCTTCACCCGGGAAGAGTTCTGTGATGGTGGATGCCACACCTCTTGTCTTCGCGGACGCGCGGGCGACGACGGAGCCGCGCGGCGCGAGGGCCCGGGAGCCCGTCGGGCCGCCGATCTCACGCATCGTGTTGCTTTCCTCGCGAAGACGACGTCTGGCATGGACGTCCTCCTCCTCCTCCTCCTCCTCCTCCTCCTCCTCCTCCTCCCACTCCTAGCCCTTTAGATCCGGGTCGGTGGCACCGGCCGTCAGGCCTCTCCAATCTGCGGGGGAAGAGACTGCGTTAGTCGCATCTGCGTTCGCAGGAAATGTCGAGTTGGCCATACTTTCGATCTCGTGTGCGGCTCAAATCTTCGGAATCCGGACGAACTATTGTCCCCATCTTCGGAATCCGGACGAACTATTGTCCCCGTCTGGGGATATTTGGAGCGTGGTGCGGCGGTCGCGGCGATGGCTCCTCAATGTACTCCCTACGGCCGCCTCTCGAATATCAACAACGCCGGGGACAGCTGGATGGAGAGCTCCAGGAGGTGCCAGCCGCTGGCCATCCTGAGCGGAGAGGCGGCCCTTTACCAGCTGGAGCGCGGACGAGGTTTTATGAATGAGAGTCTAGCTGGATCCAAGCTGCATTATGAACCACCGTGGCGGCGAGCTGTGGCGTATCCTGAAGTTGTGCACGCCATGGTGGATCAGTGAATGGCAAGCATGAGAAGCTCAGCTGGAGTACCGATGGGGAAGAGGACGGAGCTTTGGGTATCACACGAGGCTCAACTACGGCACGTAGCGATGTTTCAGTGCGACGGCGGACATGAGCACGAGACGATCGAAGGCAGAGAGGAGACGAAGCGGGCCAAGCTGTGGCCCTGGTCTTTCGCAGTCTCCATCGCGAACGGCATCGTGGACTATATGTACGAGGTGGCGAATCAGGAGGTGACGCGCTACCCGCAGAGCGCGGCGGCCTATCCTGGGGCCCAGGGCTGCTGCAGCGGCGCCGGCGGACGAGCAGGAGCCGCGGTGGCCGCCATGGGCGCAGCCCCCCTGGGACGCGGCGGGTTCCGTCGACCCGTCGCCACCGGCCGCGCCGGGGCTAGCTGTGGGGAGGCGCATCCATCCCCGCGGCGCAGTCAGCGCCCGCGGTGGCGGCGACTCCCGAGAGCTAAGCTCCCGGGCCTCTAGTTGAAGCCACAGTTCGTCCAGCGCGCGTGGGACGGCGAGCACGCTCTGGATGGAGCTGCAGGGCGCGCAACGGCGCCAACGTGGCCCACGCGCGCATACCTGGAGAGCGCAGGCTAGCGACGCCTGGGGCCAAACCATGCGCTTATCGCCGGGGAATGGGGGTGGGCTACCGAGGTGAATCCGCAACCACCTGGCAGACGACGCCCATTTCGAGCAGCGGCCAACGATCCAGCTCCAGGAGCTGGAACGCAACTACAGGATGACGACGTGCCGGACGGAGGTGTCGGGAGCGGCCAAGAGGGAGGTGTTCAAGGGGGGGGGGGGGCAATCATGACCGGCGGCATGTGCGCGGCCCAGCGGGGGGGGCCAGGGACGTAATGAAATAAGAAGAGGCGCCATGAGATCTGGGGAAATATCATGGCCCCCGCCATGATATCCACCCCCCCCTAGTCATCACCCCCCTCTTTTCCGCCCCCGAAGGCGAGACTGCCGCTGCCCCAGCACCAGCGGCGCCGGAAGCAGAGCAGACCGGGGGCGGAGATCGGTCGAGCTGGGGCTCGGGCTCGGCAGGGCGCGCGCCGTCCAGAAACAGCGAGGCGGTGTCTCGGCGCGTTCTCCGACGCCTGCATCTCCGATGGTTTCTCATGCCAACAAGAAGGCCGTGCAGCGCATGCTCACCGCCGCCGGCGTTCCGCCCAAGGTGATCCAGATGGTCGACGACATCGTGGATACCTGCAGGGAGGGGCGGCAATAGGCCGACCACGACGGTAAAAACTGAGCGTCGACTTCAACGACGAAATGCAGCTGGAACTTCTCTTCTACGAGCGACGGGTCACTGGACATTTGCGCGACGGGTGCCTTCGGTTCACTGTCGCCCGTGAGCTGGCGGATAAGTCCATGGAGTACCTCTTGGACTTTATAGCAGGAGTGGTTCTTGGAAGGATCGGTACTACACGAACGCTCCAGGCGCCAGGTCAGCACGCGCAGGTGGTGGAGCGACACCGTGAGATATTACGGAGACAACAACACCTGATCGACGCCCAGCGAGTGCCGCGAGAACGAGATCAAAGCTGGCGGAGGCCGTCTACGCGAAGAATGCGTTCCTGACGATAGAAAGGGCACCCCCTACAAGGCGCCACGCGGCAGGGTGCATCTTCTGCTCAGAGCTTTCGACAGAAGAGGAGCTCGAGAGTATGACGACGATAACGGGTTGGCTATATTTCGGCGCGCCCAGAGGCTGCGCGAGATTGCGACTGCGTCGCTCATCGAGGCGACGGCGCAGGCCAGGATGGAGAGAGCAGCGGAGTCGAGAGCGGCCCTGGTGCTGGAGGACTTGAAGCTCGAGATCGGCGATCTTGTGAACTTCTGCAAACCCGGCAAGGCCCCGAAGGGCGCGCCGACGTGGAAGGGCCCAGCAAAGGTGGTGTCAGCGGCCGCGCCAGAGTCGGGCTCGCTGACACTCCAGTGGCAGGGTCGAGACATGACGATCAAGGCCACTGCCATCAGAAGGGCGATTTTGATCACCTACGCCGCGTCGTTCGTGTCGAAGGAAAGCGATCCAGCTCGGGTGCCCCTCGACTTTGCGCGCGATATCGGCGGGGGCTTCGAGCGCCCAGGCTGGGCGAGTGCCTCAGAATGCGAGTCGTTGACGAAGGTGTCTCAGAAAGGCCCCAGAGTGGTGGCGGCCATGCTGCAGGTAGCCTCGTACGGCTTGCATCTCAATGGGGCTGTGGCGGCACGAGTTGACAGAAAGGTGCCGACGCTGCCTGGGCTGCGCGACTTCGAGTTCCGCGCGACGCGCCGGTGGATGCCGAGGAGACAAGGCAAGGACGACACGGGCGTGGAAGCGGTGTGCTACTGGGCTCACGACAGATTCGGCGAAGCATATTGGAACGCCACCTAGTTCGCGCAGTTCCTCACCGCAGAGCCCTACGCGCTGGACAGCCTGCAGAAGCAGGCCCCCCAGGCACCGCGCATGGGGGGGCCTCGCCTGCCCGGCGCGGGCGCTTGGCGGCGAGAGCATCGCGCGACGGCCAAGCGCCCGCTCTCAGCGGGCTCGCAGGGTTCCGAGCGCCCGGCAGCGCACGTGGCAAGGAGGCCGGAAGGCGAGTCCCCTGAGACGACGCCGACACCTCCACGCCCTCCTCCTGGACTCCAACACCCAGCTGAAGGAGCGACAGCGACAGCAGCCGCGGAGGAGTCTAACGAGGAGGCAGATGAGGAGGACAGTCTCGAGAAGCTATACTCGGTCGAGGCACTCTGGTCGATACCGAAAGAAGGCAAGGAAATACCCAATGAGAACGATGTCCTGGAATTGGTGAGGTATCTGACGGAGGAGCCGGACACCTCGGCCATCGACAGGAGTGACGTGATCACGGACTACGATGTCATGGAGGCCTGGATGACTCAGGACGACAACTACGGCAAGCTGACTACGGAGATTGCGGAGTCTCTGCAGCCCGAGAAGGTTATGCATATTGTTTTCGCAGCAGGGGCATGGAAGATGCTAAACGAACCCTACGTCGCGGGAGATCCCAGACACGACGACGATGTGGTGATTCTCACCTTTTACGGGAACGGTGCCGCGAAGGCAAAGATGGAGCGCGACGACAACATCCTGACGCCGGTCGAAAAGATAGAACACCGAGAAGCATTACGAGCCGGGCGTCTCAAGGTGTTGCGCCACTGGGCAGGTTTCAAGGCCATGTCCAGGATTTCGCGGAGAAATGCCAAGAATCTCGTCGGCGCGAAGTGGGTCGACAACTGGAAAGGGACACAAAGCATCTGACGGCACTATCACGAGGATCAGTCGCTGCAGGTTGGCAGCACGCGGGTTGAAGGACCGTCATAAGGACGAAGCTGAGGCCTTCACGGCGACGGGCACCCGCTGGGGACAGCGAGCGGTGAAGATTCGGGCGGCTCAACACCGGTGGAAGCTCTGCAATGCGGACATCTCCTCGGCACTTCTTCCGGGCATGCCGTCTGAAGAGGTCTCGCAGTTACGGAACGAGCCTATCAGAGAGACATGTTTCGAGCTGCCCCACAGATCGGAAGAATTGCGATGCGAGGTCGAGGGCTTCGAGCTCCTCGTCCTCGGTCTCAACGACGCTCCGATCAAATGTTGTTGTCGGTTGGTCTTCGAGCAACTCATGTCGATTCCCAACTTTGGCTGAAACACGATGGTCAGGTTCTACTGTTATGGGTCTCCACGCACCTGGACGACCTGAGAGAACGCCGGAGAGGACAAGGCCTACGAGCGCTGGAGGCGGTTTTCGGCAAGATGGCTATGCATGAGACGAACTTTGTGCACTGCGGACTCCGACACCGAAAATTAGATTATACAAGCACAGGGATGGACCAAACATAATACATCAAGAACCTGAACTGAATCGACGACAAGGAAATACAGGGCAAGAGTGACGAGGACGACCCGCCAGAGAAGCACGTGAAATTGTATCCGTCCCTCCTTGGAGCTATTGTGTGGTGTATCATGACGAGAGTGAGTCTATGCATATACGTGGCGGCTCTGCAGAGGCATGGCAAGGAGAGAGCCAGATGACAAAGGCCTGGCCATGAGGGGCGCAGTATACCTTCTGGTGAAAGATGGAGAAGGACCAGGAGGCAAATGCAACATGCTGGAGTACGGTTCGAGGAAGCAAGCTCGCGTGGTGCGAAGTACATGGGGAGCCGATCTGTGCCAGCTATCGGATGGATGTGATTGTCTTTTTCTGCGTGCGGGTTTCCAGGCAGAGGTTCAGATGGGAGAGATGAGTTGACAACGATTGCGAGACATGTTGGATGGCGCTGACAACTGCGTGATGCCAGCACTGCCGCTGGAGGCTTGTGCACACGCGCAGAATGTGTTCTATGGCATTACGGCTGAGCAACTCAAAATGCCGGCCGAGAGGCACACGCTGTATCATGCACAATGGGTACGAGAGCTGCTGGACAGAGTCGTCTTACGAGTATTATGGTGGATCGGCACGAGGGACCGCTGTGCAGATGGTCTTACCAAAGGCAGTGTACCACGAGAGGCTCTGGGGTGCGTCGCTCGAGGATGGTGGAAGGTTCAACGCCCGGTTATGGCATGGAAGTCGAAGGGCCGAGTGCTCCAGATATCGAATTAGATTTCGAGTCAAGCACCGACGACGACGTCGGAGGCCCTTTCATGTACGTATCGATGTTGTGGGAGCGTACTCTCTGGCGGGCAGGCTCCCGTGCCTGTCGGAGATCAACGACCTGAACACGTTCACCACGAGCCGAATAGCGCCGCGGCGCAGCCGACCTGACCTGTGCGGGGCGCGGCCGAATAGCGCCGCGGCGCAGTTGAGCCAAAACGGTTTTTTGTGAGGAGGAGGAGGAGGAACAGGACATTAGAACACTGGATGGAGGGCGAAGGGGATGATTAAGATGGACCCAAGCGCAAAGTACGACGACGAACAATCATGACGAAGGGGTCATTGGGATACAGTCGTGCCGCTGAAAGAAGGAACGCCAAATAAAGAACGAAGCTCCTTCTTGGCCCTGCAAGCGCCTCCGTGCCCCAGGAGGGCAAGAGGAACAACACTCCGATTCAAGAAGCAATGACAACGCCAACAGCGACGATGATCCTGCTGATGAGTGATGAGGATCACGAATTCGATGATTATGAAGACGACGAAAATGTCGACGATGATGAATTCGGCCGTATGACAAGGCACCCGCCTTCGTTCACTTCATTGGTTGAATGAAGCTCCTAGGCTGCACCTGAACCTCGCAACCCGCTGTTAGGAAGCAGCTGCTGGGAGGTCTTCGTCAGAACAATTAAAGGATAGTAAGCCTGTCTAAGAAAGAAACCACTGGACCAAAATAGGCTGGATTAATCCCGGGATTTAGCAAAATGAAACAGGATCTGCCCGGAATAAGTGGGAGCTGGGACGGATGAGGCGGGAATTCAGCCAGACTAAGCCCGTTCTCGACTAGGCGTACACCGGAGCCGATTCTGAACGTAACCTCGCGCGAATTTCATCCTGACCGCTGGGTCCAGCTAAGCCGTTTGCTGACTGTGATTCGCGTGGGCGCTGAGCACCCTGGTTCGGGCCGTGGCCGAACTAAATTTAGTGGGACATGGTTCAATGCTATGCGCTTTAGGGGCTCCCCCCCTGCTCCGTTCCACCAACCCGAACTGTCATCACCCCAACCACCGGGGGCAACAACAGACCAGATTTGAGTGGTTCTGGCAGATTAGTTTGGTTTCGGGGTCCTATCACAAACCAATTCTCCCTGCCCGGGGCCCTGGCAAAATACGACGGGTGCGGGGGACAGAAGAACAGACTGCATAAACGTAAATTCTGGGAGGTCCGCGCGTTTATCTGTATCTGCGCTGGGAGCCCCTCCCTGGCGCGCGGAGCGCGTGACAGGGGCGGCGCCCGAGGCGCCACCAGGGTGGCCCGGCGCCGATCGAAGAGACCCGCGCGAACCTCGGGAAAACATGTGCAACATATGTTTATGATGCCCTTCATTTGCCGATGCAACCTGCGCCCGTGTTCGGAATTGGACATCCGCAGCGCCCGACCCTCGAGCCTCCTCGAATCGGTCCTCGAGACACACACACACTCCTGTCGGGAGAGGGCTCCTTGTGGCTTCCTTGAAGCCCGGAGCGTGATCGGTGCTCGCCCTCCGCTCCCCCGCCCCTGGGGGCAAGAGGTCGGAGGAGCGGGCGGGGGGAGGGAGGGGCAGGACGGAGGGGACGAAGACGCTGAGGGTGAGGCGAGGACGAGGACGCTGGGGTTGCGGAGGGGGAGGCGGAGGACGAGGACGCGGGGGGGGGAGCGGGAGGAAGGAGGACGAGGACGCTGCGGGTGAGGCGAGGAAGTGAGGCGCCCGCGGTGCCTGCGGGGCCTGCGGGGGGGGGGGGGGCGCCCGCGGCGCCGGCGGGGCGGCTACCGGCGAACCTCGGGGCGGCGGGGGCGGGAGCGGCGCCAGCAGGGCTCGCACCCTCGTGCCCAACTCGGGGGGCAGGGGGTCGGAGGAGCGGGAGGGCAGGGGGGAGGGGGATGATCGGCGGCGACGACAGGGGCGGATAGCCCGGGGGCGGGCATTGCGTGCGTCCCGCGGGGGAGCCTCGCGGAAGACATGGACCATCGGCGCCCCTGGATACGTGTATGGCGTGGCTCCCCCCTGGGCCACTCGCCCCGATCGTCGCCTCGGGGATGAGGGCTCCGAGGAGAATCCTGGAAGCTTCGGGCGGCAACTTGAGACCCACCGCACGTCGGAGCCACGTCGGGTTTGCGTCGGCCTCCCGGCGGATTTGCGTCGGACTCACGTCTGACTTACGTCGGAGCATCGCCGCGCGAACGTCGACGCATATCTGACGGGGCAGGCGTGCGGACTGAATGACACAACAATCGCGCCCCTCACGGGGCCACCCGGAATGTCCTTACAAGGAGGAGGAGGATTGCGATGAAGGGTTCCAACACTGGCTATCCAAATGGCACAGCGAGGGGGCAATGCCCACGGACAAATAATGTATAACCTAAATAACCAACACCGTCATCGCTGGCTTCCTTGTCGAATCATGACTGTCAGCGCTGCAAGGCGAGTGAAGGGGCCAACCGCGAGAGGAGGGAGAAGGAAGACGGGGGGTTGAACGGGAGCAGGGAGAAGGGGGAGGTGGGTAAGGACGGGGACGACGGGGAGGATGACGAGGAGGAAGGAGAGGAGGGCCAGAGTTAGCCCAAGATGCGTCAGCGAACGCGCACCGCACACGGTCCATTCCTCATAAGTCCCTACACCTGATCATATTCCTAGGGGAGGGTGCCTCATTGAAAGACAGCCCCCACCTTTCGACACGCCATCCTGTAAGTATAATACATGTCAATACGAATGGTCATATCATACAGATCCGCCACCGTGCCCCTGGGCACGGAGTGGGCATGTCCTCAGGTCCTTTGCACAACCCTCTAAGCCTCAGTGGCACGGAACCAAATTGCTAAATTTCCCAAGGCTTTCCGCGTGGTGACGCGTGAATGTTTCGGGCCCGAGAGGGCCCCAAGACGGGCCACGATGGCCCCAAGAGGCCCCGAAAACTGTCCAAGAGGGCCCCCGAGTCGCCGAACGATCGCTCCAAGACGCTCAAGATGGCCCCCAGACGGCGCAAGAGGCCACCAAGACGCCCCAAGAGGCCTCCAAGAGGCCTCCCAAGAGGGCCCCAAGAGGCCAACATCATTGATTATCGTTAGGCTGTTGAAGGTTTTTGGCTCTCTCGCTTTCCCGGCGATCCAAGAGGCGTTAACCGCCATCCACATCGCCCCAGGACGGCCCAAGAGGCCTCCAAGAGGGCGGCTCCAAGAGAGAGCCCAGATGGGGGACCCGAACGGACATGTCGAGCCCTCGGCCCCGATAGGTCCCCAGAAGACCCCAAGAGGCCCCCAAGAGGCGCCAAGAGGCCCCCAAGAGACTCAAAGAGGCAAGAGGCTCCCAAAAGGCTCTAAACTGCCCCAGAGGCCCCCGAGAGCGCTCCGAAGAGACCCCAAGAAACATCCCTGAGAACTCTGACCCAAAAGCCCAGGCTCGGTGGCGGTATGGTCCGAACGCCATTAGGTACATGCCAAACGATAACTTCCTTTCGAAGACGGTTTGCCTCCATCGACTGGACGACTCGAACCGTGAAAGACGAGCTTGCGCGGCTCTGGAGCGAGAGCCACGTCTCACAACTCAGCCGCCCTCCAGACGAGAATAATTAAGACATTGTTACGCGAATGCGTGCGGCACTAGATCGACAACCACGTGCCCTCAGTAATGCTGCCGGGAACAGGTCGCCTCATTGTCATATACGGAGGACGTATTAAGCGACACCCCCCACCCACTCTGTTGACACGACTCCAGGTGAGACCAGGAAATGGCAATAACGCGTTAAAACAACGACACCAGTAACAGAAGGGAGGAGGGGAAACAGCAAGATCGCCCACGACGCCCAAGATGGCCTCAAAATGGCCCAGGAGGCATACAAGACGCCACAACAGGCCTCTAAGAGAGTCACAAGAGGCAAACATCATTAATTGTCCTAAGGATCTTAACGGATGTTGGCGTTCTCGCCTGTTCGGCATTCCAACACGCTCCAAGACGGCTCCAGATGAACCCGAGACCACCCCAAGGCGGCCCATAAGGTCTCCAGGAGGGCCCCCAAACGGCAAATAGCGCCCCGAGGCGACCCAAGACGCGCCCACGACGGCCCAAGAGGGCCCCAAAAGGGCACCACAATTGCCCAAGAGAGGAACACGAATCGAAAGTCCGAGCCTTCCGCCCTACCAAGAGGCCCAAGACGCCCCCGAGAGGCCCCCGAGAGGCCACCAAGAGGTCCCCAAGAGACCCAACAACGGCCCCAAGAGGCCCCCCAAACCGCCCCCAAGAGGCTTCAGAATTGCCTCCAAGAGAACCCCGAGAGGCCCCCCAGGAGATCCCAACGAACATCCAAGAGGCGTTGTACCCACAACCCAGGCACGGTGGTGGGGTGAGCCGAAGGCCATTCGATACTAGAACGAGGACGAGGAGGGAAGAGCAGGAGGATACGCAGGTGGAAGGGAGGAAGAGACAGCGGAAGAACGGCAACAGGAATATGAGGACCAAGAGGAGGAGCACGAGAAGGTGGAGAAGGAGGTGGAAGAGAAGGCAGGGAAAGGATGTGCAAGAGGAGGGACGGCAAAGTGAAGGGAAAGGCGAGAGATATAATGAAAAGCAAGAGAAGGAGAAGGAGGAGGGAGGGAGAGGAGGTAATATACAGGGGAGGGGAAGAGGATGGATGGATGATGAAGGGAGGAAGAGAAACTCGATCGCCAGAACGGCTTGGCTGCCCAGGACGCAATTGCCACCACGTCCGCGAAATCGTCGGGGTGGAGGCTGCGAACCTTCTGGGAGGCTCTCCTCCTTCTCCTCCTCCTCACGTTCTTGCTCCTGTTCATGCCCATCGGTCCCTGGTCCCTCTCATCCTGCATCGATTCCTGCTCTTGCTCCTGCCTCACTCTTGCACATTTTCCTGCTCTTCCTCATATTCCTCATCCGGAACCTCTTCCTCCTCCTTTTGCTACTACTGCATGCGCCGCTATAAACAACACCTCCTGACGTGTTGTTAGGCAGACGCGTTGTCATGGCGGGCCAAGGTTCGCCTGATACTTCCTCCCGACTTATCACCCAAACACATGTGTATTACAGTTCGAAGCATGGGGGGGGGGGGGCAGGTCGTCTTAAAAATGTTGCTCTCGTCTTGGCGCCGCGCGCACTCGTCCGAAAACAACTCATCAATTCCAAATACGGATCGTATCAGTTCAAACATGTGGCTCCCGCCTGACCGTATCGAACACTCGTGTTGGAACGTTGCAACAATTGCAAGGATCGAGGGGGGACAATGTACAACATGCGGCTCTCGCATTGGAGCCGTGTGTACTGGTTTTGAAACAATTCAACAGTTTCCGGGGTGCAACGCGGCTCCTTTTCCAAAGGTGGCTGTCTCCATCGCACCGCGCACGCTCCTTCTCAACCTTTGCAACCACTACGTGGATGGAGGGCAGTTCCTTCTTCAAAATGTGGTTATCGCTTTTGTGCCGCGCGCAATCGTCTGAAACATTGCAAAACCTTCCAAGATAACGGACGGTTCCTATTCATTATGCGGCTCTTGCATCAGCGCCGCGCGCACGATTCCCTACAAAGTTGCAACAATTTCAAAAATGAAAGGGGACGATCTTAAACATACAATTTTCGTACCAAGGCCGCGCACAATCGACTTCATGGATGCAACCGCTTCGAAGATGGAGGGGAGCATTTTGAAATTATGGATATCGCGTTAACGCGCTTGCGCCGCGCACATTCTTTCAAACAGTTGGCAGTCGATTCGCCGATGGAGGTCGATTCCTTCTCAAAATAGGGCGCTCGCCCCGGCGCCGCGCACATTCGAACCTTGCAACGGTTTCGCGGGTTGACTACCCGTCATTTGCGGGCTCTCGCCCTAGCTTCGCGCCTCATTCGTTGTTTGGAAGGACTGGCAATTTAAATGGGTGGGTCCTCGATGGGGACTTCGTGAGTTCTGACGGCCCTGAACTTCCACACATGGCGATGCACGCATTCGGGGTAATTCTGTGTTAAGCATACGGCGGCGCCGCAGGACAGATCCTCGAAACGCAGGCCTACACTTGTGAACTTGTGCAGAATTTGAACACACGAGTGGGCCTTCTATTCGCACTGGAGATATGGCTCGAAGATGTTCACTGTTCGCCGTGCTGAACAAATACACAGCGATTGCGGTTCAGAGTGGGAGCCTCGCCAGGCCCAACTGTGCTGGCCTTTCAAAAGAAGCGCATCTTGCAACGAAACGGGGGACTTGTAGGGGCGTGTCCGTAACCGCAAAAAGGGCTTCAGAAAATCCCTCTCCGTCGGCGGCCTTATTCGTGGACATGTGTTCGGCCCATTCAGGGCGACTAGACATGTTTCCCCGCGGCGCCCGCCAGCGGCGCTCTCATGGAAATCTTAGTTCAAAAACTTGTCGCTCAGAAGCTGCATCCTGAAAGCTCCATCATGAGAAGGATCGCTGGAGCTCAGGCCCTGCGCGTGCCCCCAGAAACCCCATCACACCTCCATACTACTATGGTTCCAACTGCTATTAATGTACTACTACTCCAACCACCACTGCTACTACTACTACTGCTACTACTACTACTACTACTACTACTACTACTAGTACTACTACTACTACTACGACTATTATTACTGCTACTACTACTGCGACTACTACGACTACTACTACGAGTACTGCTACTACTACTACGACAACTACTACTACTACTACTACTACTACTACTACTACTACTACTACTACTACTACTACTACTACTTCTACTACCCCTGCGATTACTACTAATATTACTACTACTACTACTCCTACTACTACTACTACTACTACCACTACTACTACTACTACTGCTACTACTACTACTACTACTACTACTACTACTACTACTACTACTACTACTACTACTACTACTACTACTACTACTACTACTACTACTACTACTACGACTACTAACTACTACTACTACCACTACTACTGCCATTGCTACTGCTACGACTACTACCCCTACTAAAACGAGTACTTCTACTACTACTACTACTACTACTACCACGACTATTACTACTACTACTACTACTACTACTACTACTACTACATCTACTCCTACTATGACTACTACTACTACTACTACTACTGCTACTACTACTACTACTGCCACTACGAGTACTACTACTACTACTACTACTACTACTACTAATACTACTACTACTACTACTACTACTACTACTACGGCTACTACTACTACTGCTTCTACTCCTACGAGTGCAACTACTACTACTACTACTACTACTACTACCACCACCACCACTACTACTACTACTACTACTACTACTACTACTACTACTACCACTACCACTACCACTACCACTACCACTACCACTACCACCACTACTACCACTGCTACTACGACTACTACTACTACTGCTGATGCGGCGACAGCTGCTGTTATTACTACTGGTACTACTACGACGACTGCCTTTACAACTACGACTAGCCCTACTACGACTACTACCACTACTGCTACTACTACTACGAGTGCTCATGCTACTGCTACAGTTGTTACTACTCCTGCTACTACTACCACTACTACTTCGACTTCTACGACGAATACTACTACTACCACCACCACCACTAATGGCGCGCAGCAGTCACGCTGATTCGCGGCATTGAAATCCCAGGAGTGGTGATTTGGCACGGTCAGGGTTCTCAGGCATTTGTCTCCGAATGGGGGACGTCTCGAAATGAATTCAACATAAACTCTTGTTGGACCATGTCAAGTGGGATTTTGGAGAGACGGCGTATTGCAACATCGTTGATGCGTCTTGGGTTTGCACTGATCCTAATCCTTCCCCCCCTCTCTCCTCCATCCCCTCCTCCCTCCTCCAGTTTCTCCTGCCCGCCTGCTCTTGGTCATGCTCAGCCCAAACTTCCCCCCTGCTTCTCCTCCCCCCCTCCTACCCGTGCTCCTCCTCAGAACCTCGCATCCCGCCTCCTCCTCCTCCGCCGCCGTATCCCACTCCTTCCCCCCATCCGCCTCGTCCTGTCCCTTGTCTTACCTCTTCTCTTCCCCGCTTCGAGTGTGAACAATACCCTCCCCTCTCCCCCGATGCTGTGTTAAGCGGGGGGGGCACCCTCCCGCACGTGCCCTTGCCGCACGCAGAATCTAACACGTAGCTTGTTATCCTGCGTGATTGTGCTCAACCGGGCCGCCTTAGGTATGAACAACATGATCCCACGTGGTTGCCCAACGCGGGCCACGTTTCTGGTAACGGTTCCGTCGTCGTTACAGTCAACCCGTCGTCGGTACCGTCCCCTCTCCCCTCCTCCGCCTTCCCCTGGTCATCCTGCTCTTCCTTCTCTTGTTGTTCTTGCTGCTGCTGTTCCTCCTCCCTCATTGTCCTGCCCTGTCTCCTAATCATCCTCCTGCTCATCCACCAGACTCCGCCTCGTCCTCCTTCCTTCTCCTCTCCTCCTCCTCCTCCTCAGCCTCCTCCTCCTCGTCCTTGGATCGATTAATGGTACAAAAGCCCCTTTTTCTGGCTGTGTACGACACCACGGGTTCATTTGTTGGACCACTGGCGTTTAAAGCCAACGGCTGGAAAATGATCCAGCGCAACGGAAAGGGATGGGTGAAAGGGGTAGGACGTCAGATGCGGCGCGAGAGGACCTAGCTTGCCCTCCTCCGTCTCCTCCCCACTCTGCGGGGGGGGAGCTCGCTTGCGGTGGTCGAAGGGCCTCACGGGTCTGCATCACAAATTTCTCCACGAAGAACGACGACCTCTTCCCATTCACTCACCCGTACCTTCCCGGCCGCAGCGCCAGAGTGGCTGGGGAACGTATCGATCTGGCAGGAGGAGGGTCAGCAGAGATGCCTCTAGTCCACCTCTCGCGCTCGGCGAACGTCGGCTTGACGCCCACTTGCGCTGCCGTAACCGAACCCACTCTTCCTCAACTTCCCCATGCTCACCAATGACGTGGGTCAAGGAGGGCAAACGCAGTATCAGCTTTGGCGCGCCCGCGAAACAGTTTTCTGTCTCGCCATTACTTTAGGGCCGCCTTTTCCTCGTCCTCCTTCTCCTCCTGATCCTCCTCCCGTCCTCGTCCTCCTCCCTTCACCCATCGCTTCTACCCCCGATGAGCAGCAGAAGGAAGATCAGGACAACGGGCAAGAACAGACGACGACGACGACGGGCGGACCGACGACGACGATAGCGGATAACGACGGCGGCGAGGTTGACGACGTCAAAGACGTCGTCGACATCGTCGTCGTCGTCGACGTCGTCGACCACGTCGTCGTCGTCGTCATCGTCGTCGTCATCGTAGTCGTCGTCGTTGTCGCCGTCGTCGTCGTCGTCGTCGTCGTCGGTGGCGACGCCTGCGGAATGCGCGCGCCCTTGGCGACCGCCGCGGCCCCGATGGACAGGGGCGCGGAGGCGGGCCTGCCAGCCTTGAGGGGGGGGGGGGAAGCGGCTTGGGGAGGGATCCTAGGCCCCCTCAAGGCTGGCAGGCCTTGAGGGGGCTAGGATCGGCTAGGGGAGGGAAGGACCCCGATCGGCTACACGCAAGTAGGGGGGGAACAGGGGAGGGAAGGACCCCGATCGGCTAGGGGAGGGAAGGACCCCGATCGGCCCCCTACTCTTGGGGTCCATGTAGCCGATCGCGGCTTGGGGAGGGATCCTAGGCACTCTTGCCTAGGCTACACGCAAAAATTACCCTAAGCAAGAAGTACCTTCGGTGCCCGGCTTAACAGAGGACGCGGGGTGGCCAAACCCAGGCGCCCAAGCCGCTGCTACCGCTTCGCGTTCAGCGATCGGGGGACCCCATTGGGCCTGCACCAAGGGTCACTCCAGCGAAAGGTCAAGCACGTCTAGACGAGGGAAACGAGGGGGGCGAACATGGGCGCCCACCAACCAGGCACCAGTTGAACACCTGGCACACACAACCGACTACCTGGAGCAAAGGAAGTGAGAACCCCAACATGCAAGCAATGTGTGGGGAACTGTGCGAACCAAGTGCGCTTGTTCGCGCGCGCAAGACATACTCATTCAAACACCACTGGCTCATAATACTCGGACTGTCAGGTTGGTATAATGAACAATCTGTAGTCCTCTAAATATTCAATGCGCTCGCCAATGCTCGTCTACGTCACCATCATCATGCGACAATGAGTTCATCAACGTTCACTGCTGTCTGGGGCGATTCCACGAACAAATTGATGAGGTTCCTTAACAATCGGACATATTTGTAGGCGACTGTTCCCTAGCAGTATTGGACTGGTCGGACGCCATGGGGCTGGAAAACAAACACATTATGATAAGGCTGGTGGGCATGCTTTCGTTCCGTAACAAGCCGGGCTATAGCATACAATACTACAGGGTTGGAAAGGTTTTCTTCTCACGTTCTTCGCGTTCTCGTGTTTTCGGGTTTCCGACGCTCCAAGATGGCCCCACAGGGCCCCAAGACCGCCCCAGGACGGCCGAAGAGACCCCGAAGAACGCCCCCAGACGGTCCAAGAGGGCCCCAGAACGGCCCAAGAGGCGCCCAAGATCGCCCAATGAGGGCCCCAAGACGACTCCTAAAGGGAGAACACGAACGGACAATTCCAGCCTTCCACCCCGAGAGGCCCTCAGGAGGCCCCAAGAGGCCTCCAAGAGTCCCCCAAGAGAGCCCAGGAGGCCCCCTAGAGGCCCCACGGGGCCCCCTAAAGGCCCCACGGGGCCCGCAAGAGGCTCAGATAGAGGCCCAGAAAGAGGCCTCCAAGCGGCCCCCGACAGGCCTCCCACCATACATATACATATACATATACATATATATATATATATATACACATATATATATGTATATATATATATATATAACATAGATCGTATACATACATACACATATATATATATACATACATCTATACCTATACATATATACACACACGCGAACATCCGAAAGGCCTGTAACCCGCAACCCAGGCACGGTGGCGCGATGGGCCGAAGGTCTACGTACCTCGAAATGCCTCGTACACGATCCGCCTGGTGCCAGCAATTACCACTTTCAAAGTACACGTGGTGCCGGCGATGCCCCTTCCCCAGTGTGCAGGAGGCCAAACTTCCCAAGAAGCAACGGCCTGACAGGAGAGCTCCAGTCACCAGAGGAGCCGACCTGCCCCAGGGCGGGGGGGTGCTGTCTGATAGGCTGCCAGGGTGCCGCGCGAGAGGAGCCGACGAAGCCACTTCCTTCCAACGTCCTGGCGAGATTGCCACAGCACCGAAGCCTTGGAGGGAGCGTGAAGACACCAGCAGGGGGGTCACCACCTGCTGCTGCTGCGTCTACCTGCTGTTCTATCTCGTCACGCATTTCGCAGACAACAAGCAAAGACCTGACCGCCATGATCACCAACGCCAGCTGAGCACGATGAGGACACCAAAGCCCCACAAATGTACCGCATCCCTGGCACGTTTCTGGACCCACGCGCGTCGAGCATGTCGGACGGCGGCAATTCCTGCTGGCAGACCCTCGGTACGACCCCGGGGGCGGCACCGCGAGAGGAGGACCAATCTGCACGACCTGGTCCTGGAACCTGTCGACGTCCGAGGCTGGAGGGAACCGCGCCCACAAGCGGGGGCCGTGCCGGGTACGCTAGAGGTCGGCCACAGGGGCAGCGCAAGCTGTCGGGGCCATCTGCCTCGGCCTGCCTGGCGACGTTGCGCCTGAGCTTCTCCTCGAAGCTGGGAACACGGCCAGCAAGAGGGCGGCCAAGGCGGGAAGGCCCGCGATGACCCTCTGCAGTGGCGTCGTCGCTGACGATCCTGTCGAGGAGCTCCAGCACCTCGCTCCTCTCCTGCACCGCGGCTTCCAAGTCATCTTCGAGAGGTTACCCGACCTGCGAAATGACGTGCATGCTCGAGGGCCCCTGACCTCCGTGAGGCACGGGACGGAACGCCGGCCCCACCGTCAGGGGCGCCTCCCGGAGCCAGCTCCACGCCAGAGCACCCCTGGCCGCCGCCTCCGCAGGGCATGCCGAAGGAGCTCGAGCTGTAGGGCGTTCGTGCGCTGGTGCATAGCACGAGCCAAAACGGCCATACAGGAAAGAGGGAGGGAGGAAGACGAGGAGGGGCAGATGGACGAGGACGAGGAGGACGACGAGGGGAGGGCGGGGGGTGGGAGGGAGGACGAGGAGGGAGAGGGAGAGAGGAGGACGAGGAGGGGGAGGGATGAGGCCGAGGAGGAGCAGCACGAGGACGAGGGGGGGCAAAAGGCTCTGGGACCCCGCCTGCCAGCGCTGTAAAGACCGCGGGGACGCCGGCGGCATCGGGCTAGATGAGCCGTCTGGGCGACGGCTTCTTTGTGACGCTCCTCCTCCTCCTCCTCCTCCCCCTCGGCATCTACCTCCACCTTCTTTTGGGCTCTGCGTCCTACCCGCCCACCTCCGCCTCCTCCGCTCACTCCTCCTCATGACCCCCTTCCTCCTTGTCCTTGAAAATGTGCGCTCCCTGGTTCGCCCCAAGGCCAGTCGGAAGGGCAGGCCGGGCGTCTCGCCTGAGACTTTCTAATAATTTAGGATCCCGAAGCTTAAGAATTGGCCACTGTTTCTTGGAACGGCCAGCGGTTTACAACATGTGGCTTATATGAAAATTTGCATCAGCTTCACAGATGGAGGGCGGGACGTTTTCAAAACATGGCTTTCGCCTCAGCGCCGCGCATATGAATGTTCAAACTTGCAAAAAAGACAGTCACGGATTGGGGGCGGCTCCTTTTTGAAAATGTGGTTCACGCCTCAACACCAGGCATATTCATTATAAACAAGTTCAAGAAGGTCACGGTTCGCATGCCTGGCGGATCAGAAACGGCGTGTTGGAACGACTCATGATTATCAAATCACAACAACTACGTTGGCTCGCGGTGTTGAAGTCCCAAGAACAAACTTCGGGCACGATTCAAGATCGTCAAGACGCTACCGTCAGGTTGATCCGTGGTGTTGAAATTCCGAGAATGGTGCTTCGGCACGCTTCAGGAGCTTCCAACGATTGTCTCCAAACGGGGCACTTCCCTCAGGGGAAGTGAATCCTTGTAGGGGCCTGTGAACGAGAAAGAGCTTGGAAGGAGGGAGTATTCCAGCATCGTTGATGAATATTTGGTTTACATTGGTCCTCCTTCTCATCCTCCTTCTCCTCCTCCTCATCCCCCTTTTTTCGTCTGGTGTCCATCCTCCTCCTCCTCGTCCTCCTCCTCCTCGATTTCGTTGTCCATTCCTCCTTCTCGTCCTCCTTAGCCACACGTTCCTCCTCCTCCTCCTCCTCCTCCTCCTCCACGTACTCTCCAAATCCTGCTTGTCCTGCCTGGCATCCTGCCCCTCCTCAGCCTCCACTTCCTCCTCCTCCTCCTCCTCCTCCTCCTCCTCCTCCTCATCCATGATCCTTCTCCTCGCGACCGCCCTCGTCCGCCTCATCCACATCCACTCGCTCCACCTCCTCGGCGACAGTTTTCGGCTGTCTCCGTGCCTCCCCCTCGCCGTCGCCCTCCCCCTTGAGGGGACCAAACATGTAGCCGCACATTTCGTCGTTTGAAGCTCGATTCTAAGTACGCAGATCCGCGTACACCTCCACTCCCACCGCCACGTCTGAGTCTTTGGCGAAGAACTCCCCGTCCTGGTCCTTATGCTTCACTTCGTGCTCTGCGTCTTGCTCCTCCTCCTCCTCCTCCTCCTCGCCGTCCTGCTCGCTCACGCTCCTTCCGCGCTCCCCGAATCCAGAGTCCGATTGCCTTTGCTTAGACGAGGGGAAGCAAGAGAATGTGAACGAGGACGGGCATGGAACGGAGGAGGAGGAGGAGGGAGTAGGAGGAGTAGGAGGAGGAGGAGGAGGAGGAGCAGGAGGAGGAGGAGGGGGAGGGGGAGGGGAAGGAGAAGCGAGGGAAGGAGAAACGCGGAGGAAAAGGAGGAAACGGACGATGGAGAGGGGGAAGGGGAATGGGGCGACCATCCCTTTCCGTCCTCCTCCCACTCCTCCTCTCCCCAGCCGATCCTCTCGGGAAGGGGGACCGGATTCGGAACGGCAGGCTTTGGAATGGCACTGCCGCCTCACCATAAAGAGGAGGTTAGAACCAATTGGCATCAACAATAGGACTGGGACCAAGCAACAACTGGGCTTACAAATCCCACGATGGCCTCGCCTCGTTCTCCGCGCCCCCCTTCCCGTTTCTCGTCCTCACCGCGTCTTTAAAAGAGCTCCCCGCCCTCCCCCTCGCCAGCGTACCCCCATCCTCAGAAATCCGAGTCCCTGTCACCTGCGCATTTTCTTAAGGTGGAGGGCTCAGGGTGAAATCCATGTGGGCTTTTGCACCTCAAAATCAATTCGTCTTGTGATTCACCCTGTGCAGATTCAAGCCTCGAACATCAATCGAGACGGCGTTTCAGATTTCACCCTTTGCCCTCAACCCAAAGAAAATACTCGGTTCACGCTGCACGGGCCCCCTGAAGCGATACGTGAGCTCCGCATGATGCTGCATACAGGCGCATACCACCGCTCCCCAGAAGCGTGCTCGGAGGTTAAGAAGCGCGCAATACAATCATCGGCCTGACCTAAAGAACGACAAATTCGCCGGCCCTCTTGCGGGGCCGTCAAGCTGCGAAGATTAGGCTTGCAGCTCCGTGTGCCAGTTGCAGCTTCCAGTTTCCACTATTACAGTCCTGCTTTCTGCTTCCTTACTGCTAATTGTTGCTGAGCGCGCGAGAGGGAGGAGCCGAGAAACGTCCTAGCTAGCGTCCCCGAATCGCGTTGTATGAATTCCTGGGGGGTCGTGGGACACATAAGAAAAATTATATTTGCGTCCCCGAGGCCGTAACCTCTAGTAAATTCGCTGGCCCAACGGGGCAGAGGCGTGCTAAGAACTCTGGTAACTGGTTTACAATTTTCTAGTTCGCCCGCGTGGGGCGGCCCCTGGGGGCCCTCGAACGGAAAGTACTCGGACAGGTCCCGGCCAGATAAGGCCCAGAGATGGTTCTCCTCCTCGGAGCTGCCTTCCAAGCTTTCCCGAGCGCCCCAGGAACGCTCTAAGAGAGCCCCGTGACGTGCTCCAGACGGACCGAGGGGCCCTCGGTCGCTCACACATGCACACACACACACACATACAAACCACCACCACAACAACCACAACCACGCACACACGCACGCACGCACGCGCGCCACCACCCACTACGCACACGCGCGCGGAGCCACAGGTCCGCTACGACACGCGTCCGCGGATAGAGAAAATCAGCGCCATGGTAAGGGATGGGAGGGAGGGGTAGGATGTCAGATGTTGACGCGAGCGCACCTAACTTGTCCCTTACCCCTCCCCCTACCCCCTCCCCTGGACCTGGAGGGGGCGTTTCGCGGGTCGCCGGAGCGTCCAAAACGGCCTCGGCGAGGAAGCCCAAATAATTGGTTTTACTGTGGTTTTGGTCCCATTTTGGCCTCTGGGGGGGCAGCGCTAATTGAGGGACCCCGCTTCTTTGATCGATCTCCTCCGACAAGGCCCCAAGAGCGCTCCCTAAGGCTCCCGAGGGTGCCCCAAGAAGGCCCCAAGAGGTGGCCAGGATGCTCCAGAAACGGCCCCAAGAGGGGCCGAAGAGCCCCCACCATCGCCCCAGGCCGGCCAAAATGGCCTCCTCCTTCTTCCTCCTCCTCCTCCTCACTCTCCTCCTCGTCCTCCTCATCCTCCTCTTCCTCCTCCTCTTCCTGCGGTCGCATTCACAAGCCGCCACCCTCCAAAACGGAAAGGCTCAAACTTGCGACGAACACCTCCGATCTGCGACATGGCCCCACAGCGACCATCCAAAATCATCAACCCCTCACCGACACAAGCAAATCAATCACCGACCAGACCCGTGAACACCCACGATTGCCCCAGGACAACCCCGCACCCCCGAAACCAAATCCACAGTCACTGCGACGCCCTCAGGAATACACCTCCAAATCGACAGAGGTGCGACAATAAGGGCCGGCGGAATGAGCGAAGCGATTCAGTTACAGCATATTCGCGTCCCCGAGGCCATAAAGCATCGTGAATTACACACTCGTCACGTCCCCAAAGCCATAATCCCTAGTACATTACCCAATAATCACGTCTCCGAAGCCATAACGCCTCGTACATTAAGCAATACCCGCGCTCCAGAAGCCATAAACCATCGCAAATAATCACATATTCGCGCCCCTGAAGCCATAACCCCTTGTAAATTACACAATATTCGCATCCCCGAAACCATGAACCGTAGTAAATTACACCAAACTCGCGCCCCCGATCACAAGTACTTAATATTCGCGCCCCCCGACGCCATAAACAATAGACAATTCCACGATATTCGCGTCCTCAGCGCCAGAATCCTCAAAAAGTTACGCAATGTTCGCGTCCCCGAGGCCATACATCCTTGTAAATTATGCAATAGCTGCGTCACCGACGCCACACACCGTCGCGCATTATACAATATCTGCGATCCCGAAACCATCAACCATCGTAAATTACTTTATCTCTGCGGTTCCGAAACTATCAACCCTCGTACATTACATAAGATTTGCATACCCGAAGCCATGAACCCTTGTACATTACGCAACATTCACGTCCCCCGAAACCATAACCGTCTGTAAATTACACAAAAGTCGCGCCCCCAAACCAATCAACTCCTTTACAGTATACAATAGTCGCGTCTCCAGGGCCATCAACCTTCGTACATTACACCATACTGGCATCCGCGAAGCCACAAACGCTTGCAAGTTACACAACATTCGCGCCCCGAAGCCATACACCCTCATACATTACTCAAGAGCTGCGCCCCCGATGCCATAAACCTGAGTAGGTGACTCAATAGTTGCGTCCCCGAGGTCACACACCCTCGTAAATCACGGTGTCCGCGTCCCCGAAGCCATACACCATTGTAAATTGCCTAATATTCGCGCCACCGAAGCCATACACCCTTGTAAATGAATATTGGCCCTCGCGTGAAGTCCCGACATTGCTTCACGTCAGCGTCCAGACATCCCCACACTGCTCTGCCAAGTCCCATTCTAAGAGAGGGAGGCCGGCGGCAGGGGGCGAAGCCCCTACGGATCAGGAGCGAGGCCCCCTTCTCCCGTCAGCCAAGCCTCGATCTCCCATGCAAAACCTCAGGAAAACCAGAGGCAGACTGTGAAACGATCCAAGGGGGCACCGAACCCCTCCCCAACGAAACGGGTTCCCTCTTCCGCGCCCCGACTGTATCGGGTCGGGCAAAAGGGGGGGATAGCAAAGGGGGGGGGGGAGAATCAGCTCACGTAGCTGATTTTCCCGGCGCCTCCCGGCGCCGGAGGCGGCCATGCATCGAGGAATGGGCCCCTCGGTGTGGCCGAAACCAGCTGCATGCAGCAAATTTCGTAACCCCCCCTTTCCCAATCCCCCCCTTTCGCCCGGCCCGACTGCAGCGAGCGAGCCGACCGTGACCAACTGCAGCGCTCGGGCCTCGGCGTGCCCCACGGGCGGGCGGCGACAGACGGCAGCGGGTACTCCTCCTCCTCCTCCTCCTCCTCCTCCTCCTCCTCCTCCTCCTCCTCCTCCTGGAGGGGGTCTGGACCCTCCAAGACGAGCCCTTTCAGACCCCCCCCCCCGTGGGAGAACCCTCCCAAACGTGGTCCCCAGACCCCCCCAGGCCCTCCAAGATAGCCTGGAAGAGACCCCCCCCCGAAATGAGACCCCCCTCCCTTTATTGCGAAATCTGGAGTACCTCGGGGGAGAGAGCTCGCCGTGGCGGCAGCATCGAAGAGGCGAGCCGCGAGTGCGAGCAGAGGACCGAAGCAGAGGCCAACGCCACCAACTGCAGCGCCTGGGCCAGGGCATGCGAATACGACAGGCAGCGGCAGCGGGCGGCGAAGGAGACCAGCTCGTGGCAGAACGGGAGAAGCAGCCAGGCGCGCCCCACGACCCCAGCCGGAAGGCAGGGGTCAGGGTGGGCGGCGAAAGAGGGGGTGCAGTGGCAGCATATGGCGGGAGGAAGATGAACTCATCGCAAGCAGCTACGTCGCCCTGGCCAGGGCATGCAAGAGATGCGGACAGGGCAGCCTGCAAGCTGTTACAGCGACCGCCCGCTGCCGAAGCGCATGTCGGGGCGAGAGATAGCGAGGCCCGCCCCGCGACCCTGCCACACAGGGGGGGAGTAGGGTGGAATGCGAGAGCGGAGTGCAATGGTGCCACGCGGGGAAGGTGAGCCCACCGTCATCAGCTACAGCTCCAGGGCATCGGCTTCCAATAATTGCGGGCAGAGGCGGCAGGAAAGGCGCCCAGGATTCATATCCTCAGCTTCAGGGCGCGGATCAGCTCGTGCGAAAGATAGAAGCCCCCCAAATGGGGTCCGAGCCGATAGGGTCGGAGCATTGCTCCGCATCGCCAATGTATCGCCAATGCATCGGCGACGTCGGCGATACATCTGCGACGTCGGCGTGGAGAAGATCGGGCTCTACATCGAGCCACATCGCCGATGCGTCGGCGATGCGGCGCGATCCTTCGACCCCACCTACTCCGACCCCATCTGGGATGCCTAGAACGCAGACGCAAGAATGCTGGGGCCAAGGCGGAAGAGTCCAGGCACGAGGAAGGCGAGGCAGTGATGCCATAGCCGCGGCGGCGGGGGCGATCATCAGCGATTCGGGCCAGTTTGACTCAGCCGAGGCGATGGACAAACACCCACACACACAGACACACACACACACACCAGCCATGCCATGAACTATGGAGTTGGGGTCCACTCGTGTGGGTGGCGCGGGTTTGCGATTGGCGCTATGAGCTGGGACCCCGCGTCATCAGCTACATGTCAAAAAACAAAACCGAACCAAAGCCGCCCAAGGACGGCCTCCTCAGCCTCCTCTACCTTCCTTCCTCTCTCCTCTCCTCCATCTCCCCCGCTCCCAGCCCCCTTCTCACCACCTTCCTCCCCCTCCTGGCCCAATTACCGTTGCGAGCGCCGCAACCCGAAAAGAACGGCACGCATTCTCCTGCGCTGGCAAAGTCGTCGTCCGGAAAGCCGTCGAAGGCACTGCCGCGGGCGCTGTAGGGCGACGATCTCCGGGCGGCTCACCGTCGTCTTCGTCGTCGTCGTCGTCACCGTCGTCGTCGTCGTCGTCGACGTCTTTGGTATCAGAGTGGTCGTCGCCGCCGCTGCCGCCGCCGCCGCCTCGGTCGTCGTCGTCGTCGTCAGATTTGTCGTTATCGCCGTCAATCCCCTTTCGTCGTCGCAGTCCTCGCCCTGCTTCTGATGCTGCTGCTTCTCCTCACCCTCTATCTCCTCTTCGCCCTTCCCAATCCTCGTTCTACGCTCCACCCTCTTGCGGCATCGAGCTCGGAGGCCCCGCCCTGGTGGGATCCACAGGGGGGGCAAAAGGAAGACGAAGGAAAACACACGAGGACAAGACGAGGCAACATGATGCTTCAAGCGAAAGGTAGAAGAAACCGCCTCGGGGAACGAAACGGAGGGAGGCGGAGGAGAGAGGAGGAAGGGGAAAAGACGTTCAATGGCAGCAATACTCGAATGGCTACCGCAAGGAATCTGGATATGTGCGCGACAGCTTTTGCTACGGACGCTTCAGATATGCAGGCGGGCGTTCCAGTGGAAAAGGAACTGGCCCTGATTAGTAAATGCCATATTGCCACAACCCTTGCGAACCATGCCGTTGAACTATGCCAAAAAGTTGTGGGTCAAGCACGGCCGCCGTGCCGCACGACGTACAACACCTTGCAACAATAGCTTGGGCATGAGTCGAAGCCAGTGGGAAGAGGTGAAGGGGAGCCCCCCCCCCGAAATCACCACCGACGCTTCCGCTGGGAGCGCGGCTTTGCAGACTACCGGCTCGAGTCGCTTTCGATGACAAGCATTGGGTCTGGCAGGACGTGAAAGTGGCGCCTTTGGTAATGGGAACTTTGCATTTCCGGCGTGTGTGCTTGCTACCGAAGGGCTCGGAAGCAGTTCGACTCGCGTTCTGGACATTATCGAGCTTCGTTGGCCGCTCGCAGCAAAGGTCAGCGACCTGGACCCTTGGTCGTCGGATGACCCCCCGCGGTCCGGGCGCGGATATCCGAGCGACGGAAGGCCCCAAGCGCAACCAGTACTGTTTTGCCCACGTGAAGCTCTGGGCCGCACACGCAGGCCTACTCCGAGAAGGTGCGCTCAAAGGGGGTCAAGTGCTTCAGTGTCTCCAGGTCGACAAGGGCCGCGTCGTTGGCGTAGCCGTCTGCGCAATAGGTCGGCAACGACCGCGGACAACAGAGGCGAGATGGGGGCACCCTTGCTGGATGCCGCGATGTACTCCGAACCCGCGGTAACGGGCGCCATCCATGACAATGTCGCGCAAACTTCCTGGATACAGCACGTCGATGTAGCTCCAGAGCCAAGCCGTCCAATTGAGGGACTCGAAGACGCGCTTGAGGAAGGAGTGGGCGATGGAGGGGAAGGCGGCGGCGAAGTCAAAGAAGACGGCACCGGCCTCTTCCGACTAGCAAGCGGCCAAGACCGAAACTTCTTCAATATCGACCGTGTTAGACAGCATGGAGCACCCACTGATGAAGCCCCTCTGTATGTCCAGCACTCTAGGCCCAACCACTGGCTCGATCAGCAACCGCACGGCACTCGCCAGCAGCCGGCTGTCGGAATTGATCACCTTGAGCGGGCGCACGTTGGCAGGCTCGTAGTATCCCTCCCCTGTTGGCCCCACGCCCGAAAGCTTCTTGGGCAGGCTGAAGAGGAGGCTGGCGTTGAAATCGCCGGCGCAAGCCTTCATCAAGGACACCCCGTCGGTGGACGAGAGGGCATGGAATGCGTCGAGAAGGATGCCGGTGGAGAGCGCTGCGCTGCGACGCCATGCCAGGAAAGGGACGCTGCGCGGCCCGGGGAGGAACTGTTGGATTCCTCGATGGCCTCGCGCACGTGACGGCGAGTCGGGCGAAGCCTGGACGGGTCAAACGGGATCGCGTCGGCCAGGGGGCGACTGTCCGCGTCCTCCTCCGTCCACTTCTGCAGCAAGGCGTCGTCGATCCCCTTCTTAACGAAGACCTCCTTCCAATGGGAACGCAAGACGGCTGCCATCGCATCGGGGTGCGTGACCACCTCGCCGTCTGGCTGCAACCCCGCTGCCTTCTGATCGCGTGTAGTTGCCCTGGTCGCGGGTAGTTGCCTTCTGATCGCGTATAATTGCCCTCTGATCGCGTGTGATTGCCCTTGGATCGCGTGTAGTTGCCCTCTGGTCACGTGTAGTTGCCGGCCCAACCCACGAAAAGATATGTAATATGTCAATACGTTCTAGTACCCCGTGCCACCAAACATAAATCAATACACCTACACACGTTCGGGCCGGAATGTGTGAATTTCCTGAGGGGGTGCAAAACCTTCGTTTCCACTTTATGCTGTCGGGCAGGCCGAAGGCGTAGCTTTTCACCAGCTCCAGGTCGTCGATCCTCGCGTGTGATGGTGGGGCCCACTGACTCGGTATCCGCACGCTGCCAATGTCCTGATCCCTTCGTATTCCGTATCCCGTCGTGCGCATCTTCGAACAGCATGGGTTGGCAACGTTGGGGGAGTCTCACTGCATACAGGATTCGTCCAATCTCGAAATGACCTTCCTGTTTACATGTATGGTACTATATGTCCCTGCTTTCGTAGTTGGGGGGGAAGTGCAGACTGCCATGACAAGCACATCGACCGTACCTTTCTTCCCACTGATGGCGATGGTCATCCCCCCCCCCGCATTTTGCGGATTCGGACAGGCTCGGATCACGTCCCTCTCTCGATACCGTTTTCCAATAGCTACCATCACTCCAACATTCCTATTGGTGCATTCTCCAGGTTCCAGGGACCACTGCACGTTCGCAGATCCTCCTCCTCCTCCTCCTCCTCCTCCTCCTCCTCTGCATACATGAGCAGCGAACCTGCTCAGCCTCTCTGCGGATAGACGTCGTGCCCATCAGCACGAGGGGGGAGGGAGGAGGGAGGCAAGAGGAAGGGAAAGCGTGAAGAAGAAGACCAGCCGGGGAGGGGAACGAGGGGGGGGAGGGAGGCATCAGCACGCGGATGGCCCCCAGGGAGCCCAGGGAGGCGCAGGCGGGCAGCAGCCCGCGGCCACGCGCGCGCCACCGCCGTCGGGCGCCTCGACCCGGGAGACCCCGCGCTGGTGGGCATCTCGAGCGTCCCCGGGCTCAGCTGCGGCCGGAAGGTGCACTCCGCCAGTTCGGTCTCCACGGCGCGCAGCCGGAGCTCCTCTCCAGGAGGGGAGGGGGGCCTGAACGCCGCACCGCGAGCGTCGCTGCTCCAAGCCTGGGAAAAGAGGGGGGGGGGAAGGAGGGGGAGATGAAGGAGGAGGAGGGGAGGGGAGAGCGGGAGCAGAAGAGCGGGCATAGGAAAGCGGAACAGGGAGGGGGGGGAGGGATGAGGAGTGGAGGGAGGGGAGCAAGGACAAGGGAAAGAGGAGGAGAAGGAAGGGATGGGGTCAGAGGGCGGGGAGTAAGGGGACGGGGAGAGGGGACGGAGGATGGCAGAGGAGCGTGGGTTGGGGTGGGGAGGAGGAGGAGGAGGAGGAGGAGGAGGAGGAGGAGGAGGAGGAGGAGGAGGAGGGTGAGGAGGAGGAGGGTGAGGAGGAGGAGGCAGAGGAGGAGAGGAGGAGCAGGAGGTTATGGGAAGGGAGGGGAGGTCCAAACAAGAATCTGATGTATTGGGCGCAACGTCCCTCGTCGAACATATAGCCATTGCTATTTGACGGCTTCCTGAATAGTCCACCGACTTTCGACGAGAACTCTGCGCAGACGGACTCCTTATCTCCTTGATGCGACAAGCGAAGTAACAGCCCCCTCAACAGGTTCAGCCTTAATGCTCGGAGAGCTTCATCGTTTAATTGTTAAACGGTATGCTATGTGTCAAATGGTCGGGACTCCGAATCGTTCAAAAACTGAGCGCCAGGCCTGCCTTTGTAAGCTCAGGACGCACGGTGCGTTCCCTCATCCGCAAAATCTAGTCGGCAACGGCAGCCGCAGCTGCTGGAAACGCCCGATGCCAGTGGAGCCACTGCTCGAGATCACCAAATCTGCGCGCGCCCAGCTGAGGATGGCGACTGTCGCAGCAAGGGCCAGTTCTGATCGAATCTATCGCTCATCGCCTCGGCCTCACCTCCTACCCTTTTTTCCCCTCCACTCCTGCGCCCCTGGGTCCACTGGAGATGGGGGAGGAGGGAAAGGAGAGGACGGATATAGGGTGGAGGCAGGGGAGGAAGGGGGGTTGAGAGGAGGAAAGGGGGGGGGGAACAGGGAGGTGGAGATAAGGAGGAGGACGTGAAGACATCACCTTCTATATCCTCCCCCTGATGCTAGATCCTACTCCTCGTCGCTTCCACCTCGCCGTCCTCATCCTCCCCGGCTGAAACGCATTCGACCTCCTAGGCGTTTGGCTTCGGGTGATTAAGCTAACCACTTCACCTCTCGAACACCATGAGTCACAGCACATCAATCCTCTTCTAACTTTGCCTAGAACCCTGCCAACATTCGAAATTGCCTCCGCTGGAGACTGGGATACAGAGAGAACCGGGAGGAATACATGCTTCAGGATCGACTGTTAACAGACCCTTCTCCCCCTTGTTGGGATGGGGGGACGACGACGACGACGTCGACGATGACGCCATGCCCACAGGGCCACGACCACATGGGGGGCAAACCCATCGCGCGGGGGGGAGGGGGGGGCGACGATCCCATCCCATTGGGACTGGACGGAGGGGGGAGCCAACGCTCTGAATCATACATAGACATGTCACATGTCATGGTCCTGCTTCTCATTCTGCTCATCTCCAAAAGAAGGGAAGACGAGGAAACGGATGAGACGGAGAGCGGGAGCGTACTGAACAGGAGCAGCAAGTAAGGAAAGAGTAAACTGACGACAGCGATGGCAGTATGAACTATTGCAGGCCGTGGTGCGCCTCCTCCTCATGCTCCTCATGTTCCTCCTGTTCCTTTCCCTCGTGCCCCTGCCCAGCCGAAGCCGTGCCCCCACCTCCTCCTCCGCCTCCTCCCTTTCCTGGAGCATCTTCCACGAAACCAGCCGAGTTCCTCCAAGACGCTCCTGCTCCCGGTTGAATATACAGAGATTCCGCGGCAATATGTTGATGATGCTGCTGATGATGATGGTGATGATGAGTGATGATGATGAGGAAGCGCAAGGCCAGATGAAAATCGGGAGGACGAGGAGAGTGGTCGGGAAAGGGAGGAGGAGGGGATGAAGGGGGGGAGGAGGGGGAGGACGAGGGGCAGAGGAGGGACAGGAGGAGGCGAAGAGGGGCAGGGGGAGGATGAGGAGGGGGAGAGGGAGGAGGAAGGTGAGATGGGCGTATGAGGACGGAGGGGGAAAGGAAAAGGGAGGGGGAGGACGTAGGAGGTGGAGGAGAGGGCGCAATCAGTTTATCTGGGGTGGAAGAGAAGAACGGGGAGGAGAAGGAGGAAAAGGGGGGGGAGAAGGCGAAGGAGGAGGAGGAGGACGACGACGATGTGGATCGCGTCGAACCCCACCCCAGACCGCCGACACATTTCGGTTCGGCCGCTAACGACGCGCCCCCCCGCTATAGGTGTTCCGCCGACGCCTTGGATCCACCCGTGGCGCTCGCCGCCGGCGACCGCCCAAAGCGGCGAGTGGACCCCCAAACACGCACGGTCTCCCCCGGGGCCGTAGGCGACCCGAGGAGGAGGAGGAGGAGGAGGAGGAGGAGGAGGAGGAGGAGGAGCAGGAGGAGGGAAGAGGAGGAGGGAGGATGAGGGAGGAGGAGGAGGAGGAGGAGGATCGATCGATCGAACTGTGGGGCCAAATTCGGGGTGTGACTCCTACACTGGATGTGAATTCGAAGCGCTCTGCCCTACTCAGCCTAATTGCGTTCGCTTCGTGATTGGAGGAAATGTCGTCAATGTGGCGGTCGGGCCCCTCCCGCACCGTCTCTCCCCCACGCGGGGGGCTTGCGGGAGGGCGGCACCAGCCCTCGCTGACGCTCATTCGTCTGCTGCCTACATCCTTTAACCTTGGTTCGCCCCCTTCGCGTTTCTTCGGGAGGCGTCCCGGGGAGCGGGGGAGGACGGCGTACTAGGAAATCCGCCGACCCTGCCGGCGTGTGGAAACTGCTTTTCCGTTCGTCGTGAACGTCGTCGTCGTGAACGTCGTCGTCGTCGTCGTCGTCGTCGTCGCCGCCGTCGTCGTCGTCGTCGTCGTGGCCGTCGTCGTCGTCGTCGTCGTCGTCGTCGTCGTCGTCGTCGATGCTCTTCCGTTCGTCGTCGTCGTCGTCGTCGTCGTCCTCCCCTCAGGCGCGCCAGCCAAAGCGAAACCAAAGCGAAATCGAGCAACGTCGTAGCTGAGTCGAAGGCAAAACGAAATTGAGCAACGTCGTAGCTGAGTCGAAGGGAAGCCCCTTCCCTTTGATCCCTTCCCCGCCGGGGGGGGGGGTCCCGGGGGGGGGGGTCAGATACGCATCCCCCCCGGGATGTCCTGGGACCTAGAAAAGCCCCCAGACTGGCCAAGAGTGCCCCAAGAGGCTTCCAAGACGGCTCCAGAGGGCCCCGAATCGCCGAACCACCGGTCGAAGACGCCAAAGTAGCCTCCAGACGGCCCAAGAGATTGCCAAGACGCTCCAAGAAGTCTCCAAGAGCACTCACAAGAGGGCACGAAGAGGGAAAATCAATGATTTCGTTAGAAAGTGTTTGACAGATTTTGGCGTTCTCGGCGTTTCAACTTGCCGACGCTCCAAGACGGCCCCAGATGCCCCCAAGATTGCCCCCAGAAAGCCCAAGAGGCCACCAGAGAGCCCCAAAATGACCCAAGAGAGCCTCAAGACCGCCCAAGATGCCTCCAAGATGGCCCCAGAGGCTCCCCAAACGGCTCCAACAGGGTGCCCAGACGGGGGGCCCGACGAGCCCTCGGCGACAAAGGCTCCCAGGAAGCCCCAAGATGCCCCCAAGAGGCCACCACGAGATCCCCAAGAGGCCCCCAGGAAGCCCCAAGAGCCCCCCCCCGCCACATTAGAGAACGCATGGGTCGCCCTCCAGGGTCGGCGGCACCGGCCGTAAGGCCTTCGCAATATCCAGGACAACGCGGCCCCTGAAATCTAAAAAAATTCGAGCGTGTCCGTGTTGAGTGCTTGGGGAAGCCAACCTCTCCGCACTCTCTAAATCTGGCACTCTCCGCACACTCTTGGCATCGCTGTCGGAACGCTTCCAACTCGTACTCTGGTCCGACTGCATTCTCATCCAAGGCTGAACTAGGCTGCGTATTGCATACGCTTGATGTCTTACTCATACCTTTCGCTGCGCTGGCTCTCGCTCCTTTCAGTCCCGCATCCGTCCTAGCTCCCTCTCCAACGCTCCCCTCGGCGCCGAGCCAATGCTCCTCGCCGCTCCCTGCTTCTTGAGACGGTTGCACACGATGGCGCCCAGCTGGTGGTGAGGCTCGCTGAACTTGAGATGCGCTCGCGATTGATGGTGTTGTTGGCGTCCATGATGACCTCTGCGCAGAACGTCTCGACCCCTGTTTGCGCGGCTCCTTTGTCATGTGAATTGCTCATGTGCGCGCAACCTCTGTCCATGCAGTATTCTGATGCGAGGCGGTCCCAGACTGCCCGCGTCGACCACCTCTCCGTTCTTCGCTCGCTGGTGCAGCGCTTGAACGTCCTCGTCGTACTTTCGCCCTGCCTCGAGCCCCGTTGTAGCGATGCCCGCCGGTGTCGCGACCTCCCAGGTCTGCAATGCCGCCGCTGCCCATTCTGCCTGTTCTCGCGCCAGCGTCAGCGCGAGGCTCGCCATGATGTCGGGCATCTGCTGGTTGTTGTGGCCTTGTCCCGCTGAGGTCATTCCCTGCGGTCCTCGTCTCGGTCCGCTGCGGCCATGCGCCCGCTGGCGCGCGGGTGCGACTGCCATGGCCTGCGGTCCCTGGTCGAAGATTGACATCGCGCGCTGGCGGCAACGTCGGTCTCGCGAGACGCGCGCGCAGTTGCCGAGAAGAGCTCTCCTTGTCCAAGGCGCAATGGTTAAAGAGCTGACATTGTGGAGCATGAGGTTTCGCCATTTACGGATTCGTCGTCTTGTCCCTGCTGCGTGCCCCCGCGCTATGCTTCTGGCTCGGCGTTTCCTGGCTGTGGCCCTGCATGAAAACATCTGCTTGGAATTGATGCACTCGTTCTTGTTTGCAAAGATGACTGCGGGGTCGTGGATGTGGCGCGTTTTTTAACGATGTGGCTGCGTCGC